TTAATAATAAACTTAATCGCATAACTTAACCTAGTTTATAAAGTAAAATAATAAATTTTAGTATTAGCATTAACTAGCAATATGTATAAAATTCTCAAATTAAATTTTGAAAAAAGAATGTATGAAGAAGAATTAGTCGCCCTTGTCTCTTCAGTTTTCTAATAATTGATGACGACAATCCTAGCGAGTTCTTATGGATGGGAAGGTGCTTGCTCTAAGAGTTTTGCAGTTATAGAACCATTGAAATGATAAGTGACAATGAAGAAAAAGATGGAGGAAGGGAGAAAGAAGAAGAATTACTCATTGTTGATGGAGAGGGACAATGAGGAAAGGCTTGTTGACAACAAGTTTTAGTTCTAGAAGGCCTAGGAAGTGGAAGCGAGGAGGGGCTTCTCTGCCTGAGGAAGAAGTGGTAGGATTAGCAGGTGTAGAGGGCAAAACAATGAGTAATAAGCATGCCCTTTTCTTTGTTCCTTTTAAATCGACATCCCAAAGAGATCAATGGTGGGAGGAATAACATGATTTGCACTCTAATAGGAGTGTAGAGGCAGCTGTAAAGCGTGGAAAGCAAAAGGGGCATGTGCATGCTTGATTCTTTAGAGGGGTCCGGTCGTCGATCTTTTGTTCGCGAGATAGAACCGAGAAACCAGTCCAGTTAAGGGTGGCCATTATAGGTTATATGAAAAAAACAACTTAAAGAGAGTTTGCAGTATCCTTGTTCCTATCTACACCCATTAGGAGCAAAAATCTCGATTGGGTCTAGATTTGTAATCATTTGAGTAGCCTTGATTGCAATCTCAGTTGTTAGGTTGGCAACCTGAGAAGGCGCTGATTTCATATTCCAATATAGGACAAAAATTTGATTTAGATTTTCAAGTGCAAGCCAAATCATGAGTAATTGGAACTGCCTCTGTTGTATCAGAAGAAAAGTTTTCATATAATTAAAAATCTCTACTCCTTTTAGGATTTTTTAGTTGTTGGCATGCCATGAAGCATTATGAGAAATTATTATAAAAAGTTTTGTGAGAAGCACAGTAAGAAGGAATGCTGTCAAACTTCACCTTCTTCCAGTAGCCAATAGATGGGGAGTCAATTTAAATTTCATTCTCTAGTGGGGAAGTAAAATCCAACTTGACCAATGTCTTAGCCGCTGAAATCTTATATAGCCTAGCAATAGCAGCATCTACTAAACTGTTTATCCAAAATTGAGTCGATAGAGTACAAAAGGAATTGATTGAAGTAATGATATAAAAAATAGTTCAAATTGGAGTAATATAAGGCTGCATAAAACAATCAAAATTAGATGAAAACTTAAGTATTTGTACTCGGAACCTATATATTCTTGGAGAGTGGGTCTTGAGCAATTAAATTCTTTGGATAACTAATTGAGAAATGACAAAATGAACAAGTCCTATTGTATAATACCTAACTAAACATTGCTCAACCATGAATGTCAGTAATCTCCATACTGGATGGCCCCATAAAAACTTGCTAATAGGTGAGCAAGAAAAAAAAACAGAAGGAGCCAACTTAGAGGTCTTTTTAGACTGTCTAAGTGATGGCTTACCCTGAAGGGATGATGATAGTTTTTGATAGATAGTTATAGGCCTTTGCTGAAAATGTATGGAGGAAATGATAGTGATGTGTACACATGTTACTGCAGTAGCGGTACCTTCGTTCTGCAAATATCGCGATCCGCAGCTTCTGTCGACACGAATTTGCATTGCCGAATTGCCTTTTTATGTTTTATTTTGTTTTCAACAAAATTTTAGCTTTTGTTCCGTTCATTTTTAGTTTTTTCCTACACATGTGTTGTATTAGGATTTGGAGGACCAATTCTGTTTGTGTTCTTGTCTGGACAGCCCTCGGTGTCTAGGACTTTCTTTTCAAGGGTTGTATCTAAGGGTGAGTGGTGCTCCGAATGTATCTCGTTCCGAGATGGTGGTTCGCTTCCAAAGCTCCCGCGGTATCTCATCTCCACGGGGGTCGTTATCTCCGACTTTCCTTGTCCCCGCATCCATCTCTTTGCTGTTGTCATCCGCTTTCTTTGTTGTAGCTGCTCAGGACAACTTTCTAATTGTTGTTTTGTTAAATTCCAGCTGCTGACATCGCCTTCCCCTCCCCCCACTTTGCTGTCATCGCAGTGCTGCCCTCAACCTTCACTGCCACCACTGTTCCCTCTCTCGTTTTGCTGTTTCGAACATTGTCCAGCTATCCCTATCGCTGTTGCCATCTGGAAAACAACACACCTGCTGTTTTCTTGCTGTCTCGCTGCCCCCCTACTAGCTGCCACTACCCAAAACCCACTCTAGCTGCTTTGATGCTTCAACCCAACACCTAAGGACAGCCGCCCATTGCTGTTCCTGTTTTCACAAATGCTCCTCCCCTTCCTTCTTACTGTTGCCAACCCCTCACCACCCGCTCCTTGTCTGTTGCTTATCTTAGCAGCCCTCTCGCATCGATTCCGGCAGCTTGTCTGCTATCCTAACCTGGGAAACAGACTCCTTGCACATGCAATCCTAGTTATGGTTGTGTATTGTCTGTTGCTATTTCTATTTCTGTTTGTGTGATTGTTTTTCTCGAATTCTGTATTCGACAATAATATTTGGTTTACCTATCACTATTTCGGCTAACTTCGGTATTAGAGAGCATTCAAAAAGAGGTGCAGGCCCTTGAATGTGCGGTTGAGTATTGTAGGGTTGTTTGGAAGGTTGGGAAAGTGCAGCTGGGTGGCGGAAAGGCTGGACAGCAGGTACCGGGAGACTGGACAGCTGGTACCCGGAGGCTGGACAACAGATTTGCGGGCCTAGACAATTGATTGAAGGCTAGACACTGGTTGGTGGCTGGAGAACCGGATTGGAAGACCGTATGTTACCTGAGTTAACCCAAACCACAACTGAAACTTAAATATTATTTCTGAATTCCAAACATATTATAAACATGATACGGGAAAGAAGGAAATAGACATCAAACAAACATCACAACATAAACAATAAAAGGCGTTCGTGGGGGACGACGAGGACAGAGGCTGCTAGACAGCGGTTGGTGGTTGAGGAAAGAGGGTTTCGGTTGTAGGGAGGTGGTAGGAGGGATCAGCAGCCACTTGAACAGCAAGACAGCTTGGGGAGGCAGTCAAAACAGCAGTTGGTTGTTGTTTGGGGCTGTTGGACAACAGAGTGAAGGCGTTGTGTGCTACGACAATGAAGTTGGAGGGCTGAGACAGTGAGGACGAGAGAGGATAAGGCGATGGGGGCAGCTTGAACTGTAGAAAACAATAGATCTTTGTTTTTTTGGGCGGTTGCAGCAAGGGTGAATATGGTAACGATGTCGAACCGCAACTATAGAGGTGCAGGAATGTTGTCGAAGGCTGGATTGGCGGCTGCGGGGAAGGCCAGAGAGGGAGGGTTGCTGTGAAAGAAGTAGGACAACCACCGGGAGGATGGATGGAGAGAAAAATATCTCGATGGGGTTGAGCTACAACTTGAGCACCACTCGGACTCGTGGAAACAATCACCAACTAGGACAAGGGACAACCAAAGCACTACCTTAACGTCGGATATAGCCGCAAGAGGGAAAATACTAAGAAAAATTGAATTTTGATTTCATAGAACAACCCCTAACTCAAGCACAACCACTCCTTTTTATAAAAAGACATAACCTATCTTAGGAAAGATTTAATATAAGGAGTAATCAGATTTTAGATTTGAGGAAAGGATTTAAATTAAGAAGGAGAATAAAATCAGAGTTCAGTTTTTAGGAAATGTTTTAAATTAAAATAAAGAATAAAAATCAGATTTTAGTTTCAACAAATGTTTTAAATTAGAAAAAGCCTAGGAAGGAAAGTAAGAAAAGAAGGAAAGGAAATAAAAGGAAGGAGGGAAGAGGAAGGAGGAGAGAAGGAGGGGGCGGCAACCCCCTTTCTTGAGGACTAGTCGGTCCTCTCCCGAGCCCCGCATCAACGTAAAGCAAGAGTATGCAGCAGAGAAAGGGTGGCAGGGGCTGGAAAATGGGTTGGAGGCAGCTTGGGAAGGAGCACAACGGTAGGAATAGGCTGAGGGGGATGTTACGGCATGGAGGATTGGGAATAAGGGGAGCTACGGCAGAGGGGATGACTTACAGTGGAGGGAAAACATGCAATGGTAGGTTGGCGGTATTCCACAAAGGGGAGAAGAGGGGCTGCGGGCTGAAGCAGAGGGAGAGGCGGATGGAAAGTTGCTAGAAAACTAGCAAGCCGCAACGAGGGAAGGTGGAGGTGGAAGTTTGAGAAGATAATCACTACCGGAAGAGGGGATACAGCCGGAGCATCGCCTAGTTTGTCGGATACGGGCCTCGAAGTAGAAAACAGGATGCCGGCGGCTGTCCTCGCAGGAACCTGAACTTAGAATCAACAAAACTGAAAACCAAACTAATAGATATATAAATACTAATAGATAGGTAGGAGAGGCGGGGCCCCCTCTTAATTGGGCGGCAACACCAAAACATAGGGCTGGCCGGCACTAAACTAATCCCTGTTAAACTGGCTCAAGCCCTAGGCCTGTTCAGCCAAGGACACTTCGAGTCATGAGATTGCTATTCCTGGGGTAGGATGGGGATAACCAAACTTGTAGAGTGATCTCAAATGACTCTGGATTAATAAAACCAGCTAAAACCAATTACAAATGGACAACGTTACTTGTTCAAACTCAATAGCACAAGTACTTAATTTATAAATCCTCACCACACGTGATTGCTGCCGAAGACATGATGAAGGATTCTCAATATGATCCATCTTGACTCGGTGACATGATTTCAATGAATGCTAGAATCATGATGCCCTGCATCACATTGTTATTTACTTTCATTTGCTTTTAAGGATTTTTAACTCCCTTGCGGTATTGTTATAGTTTACTTTTACAGTTTTCATTCAACCTGTTACTACCACTGCTAATGTTGTGTTAAGACCTTATGCATCTGCTTTCCTGCACGGGACTAATATTTCTTTTATGTATATTCTCATTCAGCTTGTAAACCGCCTTTCGCAAGAAGAGCTGCTGTCTCAATTGCCTTCATTTCTTCCTTCTATCTTCGATGCATTTGGAAGTCAAAGCATAGATGTTAGAAAGGTTTGTATTTGTTCCCTCTACTTAAATAACGACTCGTATATTGATATAGCCTACACTTACTTGTGAAGAACCCATTTTAGTTTAAAACACTGACATTTGGATAATCATCTATATTCATATAGAATAAATCAACTCTAGTGGTCTGGATCCAGATTTTAAGATATTATTCAGTCCCTAGTAGTTGTTTTCTGTGTTGGTGTACCAGCTCTATAATTCTAAAGTGAAATTTACATACGTACCGCGCAATTTTTATATATTTACATATCTAATGCCCAAGTTTGATATTTACAGTTATTAACACCTTGGTGTAACAAACGTTTGCATGAAGAGGTCTATTTAACTTTCAAAAAGGTCGGGATGGACTGATGTTGGTGGTATTTTTTATGTGATATTAAATATTTGAGGGGTATGCTTGTAAATATGAATATTTAGGTGTTAGATATGTAAATGCATTAGAATTGTGTGGTGCATGTGAATGCTCCAATTCTAAATTTGATGGGAAGAACTTCCGTGGTCCCCATTTCTATACCATGTTATGAATTGAGAAGACCTTAATTTCATTTGGCCATGCTGTTTTAGTATACTAGTCTTTTGTAAAATCCCGTTGTCCTCGCATGTCAATATTTATGTATTTTTTCCTTCTTGACCCACTTTTTATAAATATTCCCTTGCTTTTATCTCTATCACATTTTGTCTACTGGCATTTTGTGATTACCATATGGTATTAAATTTTAAGCTTTACTGATCCATACAATAAACTTTTGTTCTACCTTTTGTGTGCCTGATTTGCCTCCCATTTTCCTTTTCAGACTTAATTAGTAATTTGCCATTCCAACGCAGCCAGATCTCTAATTTTATTTCTACTTCTGTTATTATCAAGTTTATGTCTACCGATCACATGAGAACTGTGATTTGCACCTCAAAAGAAAGCAGGCTGCTAGTTGTGTCCTTTTTGGACTGTTGTGTGCTTTTTGGACTGTACATGTTACAGTTTTCTTAATGGAAAGGGAATTTACATACACACCATCCAATTCTTATGTATTTGCATATCTAACACCTAAAATTTGATTTTTATATTTTTACCATCCAAATCTTTCATATCAGTTTACGTAAAAATTGAAGTTTTATTGTTAGATATGTAAATACATAATAATTAAGCGGTATGCATATAAAATCTTTATAATGGAAAGCCTAATTTTTTCTTCAGGGCGTTGTGTTCTGCCTAGTGGACATCTACATCTTGCTCGGCAAAGCTTTCTTACCCTATCTAGAGGGACTAAGCAGCACCCAACTCCGTTTGTTTACTATATATGCCAACCGTATTTCTCAAGCCAGGTCCATCGCTACAGGTGAAGCTAAACATGGCTGAAATATCAACTTCTCCTCTCTCTATCTACCTTATTTGTTTGTACAAGTATATGAAGTTATTAATTTCATTGCTGTTCGTTGTATAGTTCAGTGGGTTTTCCTGGTCGAGGAAGTTGGTTTTTTTTTTAATCTTTTCTTTTATGAGGGGTATGTTCGTATGATTTGTGTGTGCGCGCCTGCCGTAGAGTTTGTGGTTTGAAATGAGTATGTAGCCTGCACTTTAGTCTTTCAAATCCTTGCATTTTAGTAGCAGTATGTAATTTCTAATAACCTCATCCAAATTTGTTGTGTTTTACATGTCAGCAATGCAGAGATCCATTCTACAGATCTGGATTGTTCAGAATTGTTGCTCAGTCTTGTGTTTTTCTATATATATATATATATATATATATATTCTTTTCTTGCAATCAGGTGTTTTTCTTTATGACTTTTGTTTTTCTTGTGGAATAATTACATACATACCACTCAATTTCTATGTATTTAGATATCTAACACCTAAACTTCAATTTTTACGTACGTGGCATCGTGTTTGTGCTTGAAAGTTATATAAATACATGAGATAAGTATACCTTTTCATGTATAGATAAAGGAAAAATTATTGCATATGTTTACTGTAGGTAGAGATGCATACGGTGAACCAATCAAAGTCCTCCTTACCCAACTGTATATGTTAGTAGGTGTCATTTTTGTTAAAAAAAAAAAATTAGAAAGTTATTGGTTCACCTTTCAGGGTGAAAGTATGGAATATTTGTTCATGCATAAGGGGGTGTTTGTGTAAAAATTAAATTTCTGGTGTAAATGCAAGGATTTGAGTGGTATTTATGTTAACTAGGGGTGTAAAGGAACATGATACGAGCAAGCCCAGGCTCAACTCGTGTTTGACTCATTTATATTTTGAGCTCAAAAAGTGTGTTTGTGTTGGACTCGTTTGTTTGGCGAGCCGAACACAAGCCATTTACGAAAAAAGAGTCGTTTTGATATCCCTAATCACGTAGTCATAATTTTGTTGGCTAAACAAGCCGAACACGAGTTGTTCACGGACAAAAAATCGTTTTGATAACCCTAATCACGTAGTCATAAGATGTTAAAGATTGGGGTAAGATTTAAAAATTATTATTTATATTAAAACATCATTTGAATCTAAATTAATAATTTTTATTTTATTTTCTTAATTAATAATTTTAATTGAGTATAAATCTTTCTAGTCTTGTAGTTAATTAAAATTTTTAAAAATACTAATCATCAAATATATATAATTAATTAGTAGTATTTCGAGCCAAAACGAGCCGAACACTAGTTTATTAACGAGCAAAACATGAGCAGTTCGCGAACAACGAGCCGTTTTGACAGCCCTAATATTAACCTTCCTTTTTTTTCTAAGGAAATCATTTTTCTGAACCAATATAATTGATGTTTTGCTTTCCATTTATTAGTAAATATGTTGTAGCAAATTCATTTTCTGATCTATGAACACTGATTTCATTAAAGCGTCTCCTATGTCGAGAGTAAATTTCTTGAATTTAGGAAAGCTATTCGATCTACATGACGTGCATTGTCATAATATGAAATGTGTGTGCATAAAGTACTTAGTTCTCGTCAACACGAGCTTCAAATAAAAGCTGTACACATTACGGGTTTGTTTCGGGCAAGTGTAGTTTATTGAATAATGTGCTGATAAACTGATTAAAAATAATATGCTGATAAGCTAGATGCGGTGGTTATTACAAATTTTTATTTTTTTGAAAAAGTCAGATCGTTGCCAATAAGGTTATTACAAATTTTTATTTTTTTGGAAAAGTTAGATCGTTGCCAATAAACTCCCACTGCACCTAGATAGGCACGGTGTGAAAACACCGTTTTCTGCAATTCTGTGTTTTGAAAACACATAAGCTGTCAAAACGCAGTTTACCCAAACATGTCAAGTGCGTTTTCAAAACGCCGCTGCACCAAATAAGTTGCCCCAAACGGGTCCTACATCCCGCCCTAATTCGTTTTTAATTAAAGAAGCGTTTGCACTTATTTTTTAAATTAAATTCTAAAAAATTAACAACATTACATGTCAACAATTATAAATGAAAAATAAAAAGATTGGTATTTTACAAGCATGACATGACTTCTATATACACCCGAAGTTTGAGATTTACATTTATAGCATTTTTAGTGTTATAAAATTAAACACGAGGGATATATTTTTATGTGATGTTAAAATTTGGAGTGTTATGTCACCTCTCAAAAGAGTTTTTATGGGTGGTGGGCAGCCCAGGACTTAAATACTATTTTTTGGTCCTACACCTAGCCGATGTTTTTGTTGGCTAAACAAGCCGAACACGAGTTGTTCACGGACAAAAAATCGTTTTGATAACCCTAATCACGTAGTCATAAGATGTTAAAGATTGGGGTAAGATTTAAAAATTATTATTTATATTAAAACATCATTTGAATCTAAATTAATAATTTTTATTTTATTTTCTTAATTAATAATTTTAATTGATTATAAATCTTTCTAGTCTTGTAGTTAATTAAAATTTTTAAAAATACTAATCATCAAATATATATAATTAATTAGTAGTATTTCGAGCCAAAACGAGCCGAACACTAGTTTATTAACGAGCAATCGTGTTCGGCTCGTTAACTTATCGAACGAAATTAACGAGCCTAACACAAGCTTCTTAACGAGCCGCACACGAGCTGTTC